AAGCAGCGACTTGTACAGTTTTCACTGTACTCATTTGAGAACACGTGACAATATTGCTAATTCTAATTCTAAATCTAAAGCCCTGGAGAGAGTTCAAAGGAGATTTATTAGAATGATATCAGGAATGAAGGATTTTAGATACAAGGAAAGATTAGAGAGATTGAGGCGTATTCCCCTTGGAGCGCAGAAATTTAAAAGGTGACCTTATAAACGTGTTCAAAATAATGAACAGATTTGACTTTGTTGAAATGGATATTCTGTTTCCATTAGTTGGTATGACAGTAACTAATAGTCACAATTTCAAGATTGTCAGCAAGAGAGCTAGGAGTGAAATGAGGAGAAATTTCTTTACTCAGAGTTGCTAGGATTTGGAATGCACTGCCTGGGAAAGTAAAGGTTTCAAAAGAGATCCTATATATATATTTGAAAGTGATAAGTTAGAGAGCTACTAGCTGCTTAGTTCTTTTGGGAGCTGGTACATACACGACGGGAAGAATGATCTTCTGTACCGTAAAATTCTATGATTCTATGGTTTTAAGTGTTTATTTCTGCGCTTGTAAACCTCAATGACTCCAAGACTTTATGAGAAGCGCTTTGAGTCCATACCAGCCTCGAAACGTTAATTCTCTCTCCGTGATGGTGTCAGAGCTGCTGAGTTTCTTCGACATTTCTCCGTTTGTTTATAATGATTTAATGTTTAATGGCGGTTATATTACCCAAGATTCTCCAAGCTGTGGACTAATAGAACAGCAGTGCGCAGGCGCCTTACTCAGAGCGAAAAGAGCATGCGCGGAGTTACGTTTGCTAAATCGGAGTGGCTGGTTTTTCAGCTTTAGATCGGTGAGAATTCGGCGGGATAATGGGGGTGCTGGATCCAGAAGCGACTCAAAGACACTTCATAAACATATTGAGTATGTGACAAACCCTAACGTGAACTTCTGATGTTGCAGTTTGACGTCGTTCCCAGTTTTTCGAAGCCGGTTTGCGATCACCATCTTGACTGGGAACAGGGAGCTGTAGAACGCATGTGCAGTCGCTACCTTTATTGGGGCTTTCGTGCGATAGTGCGCATG